TGCACCTTTTAGATGAACAAAGAAAAGAATTCTAGAAAGTGTCAGACATACTGGAAATAATCGTTGTGAAACTGCCCAGTGTCACACATGCTAAGTAATAATTTTGCTTGCTAGCAAACATCACACCTGCATAAAGCAGTGCTGATCTTGGAAGCAGGAAAGTTGAAGAGATTTTCTTTCAGACCTTAGGAGCTTTGGAAGTTTTTGTCATGTTCTTACAGACTTCTAGTGGTAGAAATCTCAAAACAAAACAAAACAAAACAAAACCACAAACAAACATAAGAAAACAAATAAAAAAAAATTAAAATACCCAAAAACCAGACTCCCTCCCCTATACCCCAACAAAATAGAGGTTACTTTGCAAGTAACCAAAGATTCTTGGAAGTGTTTTCCGTCCTGGTGCACATGATTGTCTTGCTATGTGAAATCCATCCTCCTCTTATGCCTTTCTCAAAGGGAGGTGAGCAGTGGACTGGAACATTATCTTCCAAATACTGTAGGTACAGCTGAACTAAAACCGCATGTGATTTAAGAGAGCCAGATTCATCAATGTAATATTTTCTTCTCTTGTTTATCTCTTTGAAGATTCTTCTGGCAGTATAAGTTTCTTCCTGATCCTACAACACAGAAATTTTTTTCCCAATTGTGCTGAGAGACTATCTTTGATCATTTGATACCATTACTTTTAGACCACTGGTAAAATATCTTCAGACCCAGTACTATGTTTCACAGTGAATTCCATGATGGAATGTGGTGTTTTTGCTTGATGTTTGCTTAATCTTCAGGAAGAGCTTGGTTTCAGTTCATTTGATCCAATCTACCTAGGTGCCACATTTAAATAAGCTGCATGTTTGCCACTCCTAGCAGCTGAAGCACATTCCATGCTGTGGAAGTTGATGACATCTCGTAAACTACCACTGTGAAAGGGCAGAATCTCTGTCCTTGCATTTCTTACCAGTGTGCAACAATTTGAAAGACGGTTGGTAAAACTGCACAATTCTTGAGTTCTTGTCTCTGGCTTTGAAAAGACTGTTGGATATGACATTTCTTGAGAGACAGTATTCCTGTCTGAGTTGCAGAAAAGGAAAAGTTGCTTCTCGTACTGAGTTTTCTGAGTAACTATGGGGAAGAAATCTGCACGAATCAAATTCATTTGTGACTTTATGAAGATTTATAGTTATTTCAATAGGTTTTCTTTATTTAGGAGAGTGTCATGGTCCTTAATTAATAATCAACTTGTGGCTTATTAAATTTTCAGTTTAATATACCTCTTGCTTAAATTCTGTAGAATAATTTGTAACATAGATGAATGGAAATTACCTCCATGCACAATACAGTGAAGATATCAACAATCCTGAAAATATGTGTTCATTTATCTTGCTTTGGAACATGAAAAAAGCCCTGCATAGTCATTTTAAGGACGAAAAAAATGATATTGATTTTAAATTTTCATTTTTGATCTGCACAAACTGAAGCAGATATTTTACTTTTGTACTTGAGTGAAGCTGCCCGAGGTCACTAGTTTAAACAGGAATTCTTGCATCTCTGGTCACAAATCTGTAGGTCTCATTTAGTTTGCCTGGAGATTCCAAGTATAAGGACAGATAGCATTAGAAGCTAATGATTTGCTGTGGTTGTGTAAGATTCAAATAGGAAATAAAAAATAAAAACAAATAAATAACACTCTTCTATTCTCAGCCAAATTAGCTTTAATTTGAGATATGTAGATACTCTTTCACAGAGCATGCTTTTGGTAAAGAAAATGCCAGTTTTTTAGGAGAAAAATTTGCAGGGAGAATTTCTGGTTGGATTGGCAGTTTTTTTATTTCTGACATCGTCAAGTCAGATCAGACCAAAACTACAGGATTTTCTTAACACAATGTTTATGTTCTGTCCAACTCTATTTTAAATACTTCTTTTAAAAAGCTGAAGATCATAATTCTCTAAATACACTTTCCTACCTTTTCCAAGTTTTATAGGAAGCTAGCAAATCTTTGCACTAAAAAGAAAAAAAGCTGAAGGGTTTGTGAAATTTCTTCTGTTTACTGTCTGAAATCATGTTGACTGCTGCATTTCATCTTCATCATCTTTCTTTTTGCATGCATTACACCTTAATTGTTGCACTTCATCCTACTCTATCTTTTCTTGACTAAGGGGAAGGAGAAAGATACTGTTTCAACAAAGCTTTTTGAACCTCAACCACTGTTATATTGCCTTAAACTGAACAAAAGCATTAAGATTTTCCTGCTAATGAACTGTACGAGGTGGAGTTCCTTTTCTGTGTCTGTTTTTTTCCGGGTTGTGCCGGGTTAGTCATGGAATGGTGTAGGTTAGCTCTAAGATGTAATTATCCAGTTTCAAAAGGTCAGTGCACTGTACTTCATTTCCACCATTCACCTTTGCAATTATCCACTTCATTGACACTACCTTGACCTCATTCTATGCTTCCACCATTATTCTTGTCTCCCTATTGAAAAGTAAAATTCACTGCGAGTCTGCACATATATTTTATGGAGAGAAAATATTAACGTTTTCAAGGGAAAATTAAAGATCGCGAGGTTTTTTCACATGTTGCAATGTTTTTTCTTAAGATTTCAGTTTTGTTTATGAATCAGAATCTGGAGTTCCACACGAGAGCATCCTATAGAATGGAATATGCCTGTGGCTGCTTTGGGTTAGCTGTCTGCTCCCAGATTCTTGTGCAGCCCGAGCCTCCCTGCTCCCAGGGCAGTATGAGAAGCTGAAAACGCCTTGACTTAGTGTAAGCACTGCTCATTGACAGTAAAAATTCCCTCTGTTATCAACATTATTCTCATACTAAATTCAGAACATAGCACTGTACCAGCTACTAGGAAGAAAATTAACTCCTATCCCAGCTGAAATCAGGACTGTTAAATATGTAAATATATCATAATTGCATCTTGGGTGCAATGAATTGAAATTTTACAGACAGAGGTAAATAAATTTATCTTTGACATCAGATCTTCATGTAATAGTAATCTTCTGTTTAATTTCTTGACTGAAATTCAACCTTGGATGGTTTTGTGATTTTTCTCTATTTGATGTCTGACAAAAATGAATTTGTATTGATTAGTGTCAACTCTGTGCAAAGGTGAACTTTCAGGCTTAGAATTTCAGCTGCGTGTTTTGGCAGGTGTTTTGCAAGAAGACAGGGTTTCTCATGTTCCAGAACTTTCATGGATACTTTTAATAATACTTATGCCTGCATATTTATTTAGGAAAAAATATGGAGCTTGTGATTGTAGTCCAATAGACAGTATTCAAACAGCTTGTATAACTTTGGTGGGGAAGAAATAATATTTGCTGCTAAATAGAGGAATGTATTCCCTAATTTCCAACTATTGTACAGAAATTCAGTGGCTAGATTTTAAGGATCTCATTAGGAACATGTAAGCCTCACACATTTACTTGTGCGTTGGCATTAGAAACTTGTAGTCTGTCACTCTGGACCTGCTCTAATAGTTTGATGACCTGTGCCCAAAACTGCAGACAGTGCTTGAGATGAGACCACATCAATACAGAGCAGAGTGGAACAATCAGTTTTACCGTCCTCTGAAAATCTGAATGACCCTCTTTAACTTTATTTGGTTTCTAATTGTTTTTATTTGCTCAGAAATAAAGTGGGAACAGAGCATTTGCAATTTGATTTAACTAGATAATGACATTGTTACTATTCACAGGTACAGAGTTACATTTCTTTTAGGCTGTAACAGCATGTTCTTTTTGCTCTACTTTCAGTACCTTTTCATTATTTGCCAGAAATTAATTTTAGAATAAAAATAACCAATAGAGCTGAAAAGATACACCTCTATGGCTCTTTCTTAAGCCTTGTTGGCACAGATATCCTGTTTCTTCAATGAAGAAGTGTCACCAATGTTTTGAGTCTCCATTTTCATCATACCATCGATTTTAGTTCTCACAGAACTGAAAATTGTAAAAAGTTCTTAAAATTTTGACCTTTTTAAAAATAGATTGGTAATTATCTTCTTTTTTCACCTCAATTAAAAGAATGGAACCTTTTATTTTTCATAGTTTTTAATCTATGTTAATGTCTTTTAATCTCCTGTAAAGAACCAGTTAATAATAACTTTTTAACATTAAGTACTTGTCAGTAATAATCTTACAATAAATTTCCATTAGTAACTGATAAGTGCCTGGTTTGTGTTATAAATACAAATTCACTTTACCATTCTTCATTTGAAGTCTGAGAAGTATTTAATGAAGTTTTGACAAAAACTTCTGCCATTATCTCTGAAGAATAAATCAGTTCTTTAATAATTACTCAATATGACATAGTAATGTGTCTTTTTGTTTAATTTAATTCGCCCCATATGTGCATTTGATGAACAAATTCATAAAGTTATCTTAAAATAAGGTTACAGCATTGGTCATAAAAGATAATATTTCCCTTAAGACTATTAATTGTGAAACCACAAGAAAAAGATTAGCATGAAAGCTTAAAAATCTTTCCTCTGATTATGAGGAAAACCATATTTAGTACTGAAGATATACTTTAGAACTTCTTCATTTTAACAAAAATGTATTACAATTCTTCTAAATTGTAAACAGAAGTAAAACATGCTGATTTTTTGTCTTTTGGAGAATAAAAAGTGAACTTTGACATTGTCAAGCCAAAATCAGTATCAGTGTTATTTAAAACATTTTATTTTTTTTTAATATTATTTCTCTATAAGTAGCAGGAAAGGAATAAGACTTTGCTACCAGTTACGGTATTAAAAAATTACCTATTATTTACTTTTTTCAAGGTACATTTGATGAAAAATTGACTGTCTTGTATTTAGCTTTACTTAACATGGGAAACTTATATCTTGGGCTGATTTCTAAGGTGCCCACTTTACTCTGAGGTGAAGCTATTAGCCTCACCCAGTGAAAACCAGGGGGTTTTAATCAGATTATTCTTTTTTTTTTTTTTTTTTCCTTTTTTTGGTTATTCTTCCTCATATTCTCAACCCTCCCAGCTGGAAAGAATGCAGTGTGAGAATGCTTCTGAATGGGGAAAGAGAAAGCGACTAGAAGCAGGAAAACTAAGTTTGGAAGAAGAGACCAGAAAACTAAAAATGCAGGTAAAAGAAATTCAGGAACCTCTGGAGATGAAAAAAATTAAGCAATACTAGCTAAATTAAGTTGTGATCATTAAAATGCACAAGGTAGGCTTTTGGTTAAAAATAAGCTTACTTTTATTTAGTTTAGTGCTATTACTTAGTTGGGTTATTTGGGGAGCATTCAAAACCAAAATTACTATTTCAAAATGTCAAAAGGTATCCCTAAAACAAAGATTATAAAAGACAAAGCAGTCCTTACTGCATCCCAGACCTGAACAATTGGATCTCAGTGGCTTAAAATTTTTGTAGGGTACAGAAACAGGAAATAATAGTGTTCATTTTTAAAAGGATCAGGGAGAAATTTGAGTATAACAAGATTAGGAAGCAAAAGTGAAGACTGGGAGGAACAGAAGAGATTTAAGTAAGCTTTGGAAGCTACAGAGTACTGATGAAGGTCAAAGCGAAAATAAACTATGAGACAAATAATTTCCCTGTCTTGTTGAACATTGAATCTCTTCTTAGGAGAGGGAGAACTGAAGGAAGCGCTTATTCCTTATTTTTTTGTTCCTCCAAAGATCTGTTCATTTATTGTCCATTTAAAAATGGCTTGATAATTTATTCAGAGACTCTTGGACTTTATTTTATGGTTTTCTATGCTGATAACTAAATAATAATCCAGAAGGCTCTCACTTTCATTAAGACTCTGAAAGTTCAAAAAAGAGAATGGAAAAAGACCCCCAAACCCACCAACCAATCACTAAATGTACATATCCGATGCTATGAGTTGAGTAGTGAGAAACAGTAATTTTTTTTATTTGCCTAAATAACCAATAATTTAATTTATGTGCATTTGCTGTTAAATAATGACATTTTAAGTAACTAGATTTGGGGTTTAGTAACTAGTTAATTTCTCTTGGGAAAGACTGAGAGAGAAGTTTTTATACTTGATATCTGCTGTTAAATGTAATCATAAGATTTTTATATTTCCATCATGACTGAGTAATAGGAAAAGGAAGCTCATGCATATAAGCCTACCTTTCTAACATATCTCACATAACAAACAACGGGTTTTGACTTTTCTTTGCTACTATTTATTTGATAACATATACGTATCACATCATACCATATCACATCAGAATTTTCTGGATTTTGTAATGCAAGTAACTTGAGGTTGGAGATATGGTCAGAAAGAGACTCATCTGCTTAGATATATTACCATATTTCAAATCTCTTTTGCTTATATGTCTATGCTGGCTTGTTTATTTGTTTGGTTTTCTTTTGAAAAATACTTAGTTGCATAGACCATTAGATATCTGTGATCGACTCTCAGTTAGTATCAGCTCTCTCTGTTAGTAAAGCACCCCTAGATTTGATTTACTATAACTGAAAAACATGGAATCACATGACAAGTCAGGCTGGAATGGATCTCATGAGATCTTCAGTCCTACCTCCTGCTCAAAGCAAGATCAGTTCCAAAGTCAGACTGAGTTATTCAAGGTTTTGTCCAGTGAGGTCTCAAAACCATCCAGGACCTACCCTGGGCAGCTGGTTTGTGATGGCTTGACCTCAGCTGGCAGTTCAGCTCCCACCCAGGGGCACAATTGAGAAAAAAACCTTGTGGACTGAGATAAAGACAGATTAATAACTGGAAAGGGGGAGAAGGAAAAGGAAGGGGAAAAAAGAAATTATAAAGAAGTGATCAACACCACCAGCAGACTGATTGCCCAGCCAGTCTCTAAGCAACAGCTGCTTTGGAAAAAACTTCACCATGTCTTTGCAAGGCACTATTCCTTCCCAGGTGTAGGACTCCGTCATTGCTTAATTTCACAAGGTCCTTGTTGGCCCCTTCTTCCAGCTTAACCTTAGAACTCCTTGATCCCATCTACAGGCAAGGATATTGCCTCTGCCTGCCCCAGCCTCAGAGGGAGACAGCAAGACCTTGATGGGAGCATTTTCCCTGGAGAGCTGTGAATTTGGCACATCCCGTGTTTCTCCATTTTAGGCTGGGGACCATGTCCTGTGGTGCATCATCCCCAGGACTAATCTGTCTTGTAGTCTTCAGCAGCCTTTCCAGCCAGATCTCCTTGCCAGAGTCTGCCACAGTATCCTAAATATTCTTCTCACTGTGTCTGGGGCTCCTGGCCCCTGGAGACCGAGTGGTACCACCAAAAGATGCCTTCTGTGACACCAAACACCCACTGGCAACATGAGTACAATTAAAGATCAACATGATTAAAGTGCTGTGGCCAATTTTTAATGAGAAAATGAATGCTTCACAGCTAGAAAAAGTATGGAAACAGTCTTAAAAGGAAAATTACTCTTTCAATGAGTTCATCTCTGTCAGTCATGTCATTGGAGACCCAGTCAGCCATATGTGGAGAAGGCAGTGGTTTGTAGAGTTAGTTGGCATATTTTTTAACCTTGCTGCTGCTATTAATGCAAAACATGTGTTAAGAAAGGAAAGAGTTTCTTTTTCAAGGATTCCAGCCTAACTCAATTTAGATGGATCCAGTCTACTCCTTTGGAGACACATCCTAATGTCATTGTTGAGCTTTTCTAAATTCTGAGACTGCTTCTGATTTTCTCTAATACTATAAATAATCTGAAAACAATTGCTTTGAATCCTGGTTCAAGACCCTTTTGTTTCTGGGATGGTAGCTTCAAGTTCAACTAAAATAACATTATAAGCAGGGGTAGAGGAGTAAAAATAATGACTCCTTTAATGTGGCTGATGGTTGATGTCTAAGTCGGCAGAAATTGAAACTACAGCTATTTAATGCATCTTGATCATATGATAATGGCTTTATTTAGCAAGTAGACACAAGACATATAGGTAGCTTTTTATAGAATGAATCCAAAACACAGTTGCCTAGTATCTTACCTTTTTTTCAAAACTTGTATTTGTGAGGTTACTTGGAGCATCCATTGTAGTTGTTTAAAACAATATTCAGTATATGGGTGATTCATACTTGTAGAGGGTATAAGCAACATTTTTTGTTTAGTAACAGTATTAGTAGTATTAAAAACATGATATTAATACACAGAAATTAAATCCTTACATCCTTGTCTAAATATTTCATGTTGGCAGTTATCTTTCTCTTTAATATATATCTATACCTCCATAGGACATAGAATTTGTGTAATCTCTTGCCACTTATAGTAGTAAACCATGTAGCTTGAAGTTCTGACCATAAAATTTAATATTAATTATGTCTTTCAGAAAGCGTGCGTCCTAAATATGACTTTTAGCTGGCAATATGTTGGTTTAAAATGTTTCCACATGCAGTTTTTAAAATGTTAATTTCTGTTGTGCAAGATGAGCAGAATTGATGAAACAATTGGGATCAGATATTGTTATTGTGTAGTTTTATTGATTGTACTTCTTGAAATGAAAATACCATTTAAATTAATAGATATATTATTTGACTAATATCCTGGTAACAAATATTAAATGGATCTAATTGCTTCATCTAGGAAGGAATAACATGAAGAAGAAAATGCCTTCTTGATAGTATAAATCAATACCTAAAACATGATGTTTATGGAAAAATATTTTCTCTTTCATCTGTGAATATGACCTTGAAACTTATACATTCATTTTTAGGAATAGTAACTATTCCTTTGTTTAATCTCTAATGATTATGGTAAATAGATGGCTATGAAGAATTAATGGAATATGTTTTGTAGTGAACCTGAATATAGAACTGTGGATCTTGTGGATGCATAAACTAATTTTTATTTTAAGTTTGAATTTTATCTGTAATATGAAAAGGTTAAGCTGTTCCCAAAAACAGTATGTACATCCATGGGCTTTGTGAGAAGAGCTAAGGAGCTTCTCTATGCCAGACACAAGCAGCTCCAACTGGCTCCAAGAGAAACCCACTGGCCAAAGTTGAGACAAATGTGAGAGAACCAAACCTGCAGACACCAAGGTCAGTGAAGCAGGAAGGGGAGGAGCCAGAGCATGGATTCCTCAGCAGTCCATGGGGCAGACAAGGGGAGGCAGCTGTGCCCCTGTAGCCCATGGAGGTGCATGGTGGAGCCAATGGTCATCTTAGTGCCCATGGATGACCCTGTGCTGGAACAAGTGGACTTGCTCTGAAGGAAAGTGCAGCCTCTGGGAGCACATGCAGGAGCAAGCTCCTGGCAGGAATATCAGACCATGGGGGACACACTCCAGAACAGTCTGCTTTTAAAAGACTTATTGCATGGAAAGCTCCCATCCTCAAACAATTCTTGAAGAACTGTGGCCTGCAGGAAGATGCCATGCTTGAGCAGTTCATGAAGGATTATATCCCATGGGAATGACACCCCTCACTCTGATACAGAGGAATAGCATGAGGAAGGAGAAGCAGAGAGAAGATGTGGATTGATCCATACCCTGACATTCCCCTTCTGTGCATAGAGTGAAGAGGTAGTGGAGAAAATGAGTAAAGAAGTGATAATGAGCCTGAGAGGAAGGGTGAGAAGGAAGGAAGATTATTTTAGTTTTGTCTTTGTTTTTAACCATCCTACTCTATTTTTAACTGGTAATATATTTAATTTTCCCCTAGTCAAGTCTATTTATTCTTGCAAGGTAAATTTATCTCAATCCATGAAACCTTCTTTTCCACTCTTGTCCTGTAGAAGAGAGGTGTGAGAGAGCAGCTGGGTGGGCATCTGGAATTCAGCCAAGGTCATCCCATCATAGTGACAGATGTGGGTGTGTTCTTCATATTTCACAGGCAAAAGCTACTTTTAATGATGCAACTTCAATGAGGTTGGTTTTCTTCATATTTTTAAAATGTAGGAATATTATCCACTATCTTCTCTCTCTTAGATCCTTTCCACCCTTAGAGGTGAAAGGGATATTTCTTCTTCCTAATTATATGAGGTATTTCATGATGGCTTTCTTATATGCAGAAAATAATTCGTTTGCTGTAGCCATGAAATCTTCCTAACAGTAGCACTGTGTAAACTCTAATTTTTATGGATACAAAGTTTTGGTGTGGGACTAGGTACAATGTGAATGACATTCTTCCTTCCTTTAACACAAAATCCAAAACAAAACTAGTAAAGGTTATAAGATTAAATTTTTACTCCCTAAATCTATTTTTTTAGTTGAATAAGAAATTAAAATTCAAACATCTTATTTTCTTTTAAGAGCTAGAAAAAACAAATTAACAAAAATTCCAAAACAAAAATCCTCCCTCTCTACACATCTCTAAAGAGGATATTATAACACAGCTGTACTCACTTCCAGATTTATTTTTTAATAAAGGCTAGACTACTACAGTGGCCTGATGAGAGACAGCCTTATTACTCTGAGCTCCACAGAAATGTGTCACATGTTATAAATTAGAACAGTTTTTGCAAATACAGTTGAGAAATCAAATTTAAAAAGTGGTCAAGAAAAATAAATGGAGCAAGATAAGATGAAAACTGCTGCAGCTGCATAAACATACCTTTACATTTTGGTTAAAAGACTTAATAGGTACATAAAAGATAATGTAGCTTTAAGGCAAATTATTTCATCGTCCCCACTTGAATTGGTATTTCTTTAATTCAGAGTGATTTTGTGCACATTAATTCTTTCTAAAGGAAACCATGTGGGAAGTTCTTCAGGTATTAGCAGTGCTTGCTCTAAGCCCTGAGAGAGTGCATGTGGCTGGAGCACTGACAGTTTTTGGGATGGCCTAATGCCACATGGGGATTGAGGGCCACAGGAGCAGGAAAAATCCTGGCTCCTGTGTTTGTGTGTGGGGCTCAGCATTGGCTGCTCTGGTCTGTTTACCAATGTCTGCTGTGCTGAATTAGGGGAGTGAGTAGGGCCAAATGTGAAAGGAGTTGCAAACTGCTTC